CGTACATATGCACCTCTTATTTCCTTATCATATATTAATTCCAATTTTCTTGTTTTTTCCTCAATTTTTGCCTCAATTTTTTCATTAGAATCACTAATAATTAGGGCATCATTTAGGTTTTGTATTTGTTTTTGTAGTTTTTTTCTTTTTGAAGGTTTTTTTCTTTATTTATTTTTTTACCATATTTAATTGATATGTCTTTAAATCTAACTTTGAGTAACTCCCACAATAAATCAGGATTAAGGTTATGTTCATTTTCTTTTGTTTGCATAATAATTCTTTTGATTGCATTATGATATTCAACACTTTTTAACAATTCATTATTGAACTTCCAGTAACCAGGTCCTGATTTTGACTCATTTAAATTTATTTTAATTGAAATTGCCTGGTGATCAGTCATGATCGCTGGTCTTATATCACATGAACTTATGCCATCCTGATCAAAAATATTTTTTGAAACTAGCCAATAGTCTAATCTTCTATAAACATTATTACATTTTCTCCGCCATGTAAATTGTATTTTTTAAGGATTTCTACACCTCCATGCATCTTTCAAGTTCAGTTTTTTCATAAAATGTTTTAATGTATACACCGACGTATCTTTCTTGTTGGCACTATTTTTTTGATAAACTTTATAGTCTAAGATACAATTAAGATCACCACCAATGATAATGTTATTATTTAATTCAGCATTTTTTGTTATAATTTTGCTAAGCTCCCTAAAAAATATGCTTCTTATTTTACAATTGTTTGGAGCATAAATATTAACAAACATATATGGTTATCCGTTCAATTTTGTTTTTAAAATTATGAAGCTGCCATTTTTATCAATACATTTTGTGGTGTCATTTAAGATGCACTCTTTTAAAAATAAAACTGATACTCCAGCACTGTGTGATGTTCCAAAATTATGGATGCAAGTACCGTCCCATAGCTTATTAAAACTATCAATTACGTCTGGTGTAAAATGCGTCTCTTGTAATAGAACCACATGTGCTTTTTGATCATTGCACCAATTTATTATTTTAATTTATATATATATATTGGCCTATATATGTTATATAATGTTAAAATGGAATAAAGTCACCTAAAATGTCGGTGTCAATTATTGATTGGCAAAATGAGGATTAAGGCGCTCCTTCCGTTCGATAGCCTGCAGGTCACCCTTGGGCAAGGTGTAGTACCTGTTAAGCCTCCCGAACCAGGGAAACGGTGAAAACGTCGACAGCAGAGCGTTGGATGGCCAAAAGGCGGAAGAGTCTCTTACAGACCAACGGCTTGAAGGTCACTACAGCTAAGCGGATGATCCATACGTGGACAACGGTTAGGTGTTCACAAGACATGTTAGCTGTTACTGCGCGGGGGAAGGTAATGGCAACCCACCCCCAGAACTTTGCCTTATATAACTATGGAATGTCTAAAAGCAAGAAGAAAAATAACAACGTGAAGGACACCGGAAATGGGGTCTCGTTCGGTAGGGAATATCATTCATTGCAGGTGATACCCGATCGTCATCACGCTATTGCAGTAAATATAACAATATCAAACATCTTGACTTGGAATGTAAGAACGATGTATCAAAGTGGAAAAATGGACAATATCTTGAAAGAATTGAGACGGTTAAGCATCAACATCCTGGGTGTGTGCGAAGTGAGATGGCCTGGAGCAGGCAAAGTTATATCAGAAGGGGCCACATAAGCATGAGCATGGAGTGGGTATATTTCTCGATCAAGAAAGTGCTAAAGGTATCGCCGGCGTCTGGTGTATCTCTAACAGAATCATGCTAGTACGACTTCGGTGCAAACCGTTTGATACAGTTGTGATACAATGCTATGCCCCCACAACTGACTGCAACGATGATGAAATAGATAAATTCTATGATCAATTAGAGGAGGCAATGAAACAATGCAGATCTCATGATATAACAATAGTCATGGGAGATTTCAATGCGAAAATTGGACAAAATGAAGAAGGCAAAATTGTTGGAAAGTATGGACTAGGTCAGAGAAACGCACGAGGCGAGAGGTTAGTGGAGTGGTGCAAAGAAAGCCGAATGATTGTAACAAACACACATTTCAAACACCATCCAAGAAATTTGTATACATGGAAGAGTCCAGGAGATGGCTGCCGGAACCAGATTGACTTTATAATGATAAATGAACGCTTTAGAAACGCTGCGAAAAGAGTAAGGACGTATCCAGGTGCTGATTGCAACACTGACCATATACTGCTCAGTGGAAAATTCAAAAAAGAAAGTTCATCGAAGAAAGCAGAAAAATGTTACTAATCAGTTTCAATTAAAACTTTTGAAAAGTGAAAATGATATCAAGAAAAATTTTTGCCAAAATGTTAAAGATCAATATCAAAGAAAGTCACCATCTTAAGATACACATGCATGGAAGTTTAAAGAATGCATTGATGAAGGCAGCAGAGCAGTGTATACCGCAAAAGGAGAAGACCTCGGAAAGTAAATGGATGACTAGTGAGATACTGGAAAAGATGGACAAAGTGAATAAAGAAATTAGAAAGATGTGTAAAACTGCAAAGGAAGAGTATCTGGAGGCGTCTTGTGCAGAAATTGAAGATCTTGAAAAGAAGGATGTACAAATAATGCATGATAAAGTTAGACAAATTACATACAAAAGAAAGAAAATCTGACTAGCTGTATTAAAGATGAAGATGGCTTAGTTCTGATGGATGAGGTAGCAGTAAAGAAGAGGTGGACTAATTACGTAAAGGGTCTCTATGATGATGATGGAAGGAAAGAAAGACCAGTAATAAGAAAGCCGATGGAGGGAACAGCAATAACATCAACAGTTAATGCGTTAGATGATTTTTGAATAGAAAAGATCACAGAAATAGCAAACATTGTATACAATGCAGAAAACACAGAAAATGTTCCTGAAGAAATGTTGGAATCAATTTTCATAGCTTTACCTAAAGAGTCTGGGACAACAGTTTGTGAACGTCACAGAACTATAAGTTTGATGAGCCATGTTACAAAGATTATTTTAAGAGGGGTATTAAATCGTATAATAGAACCTATCAGGGAAAATATCTCGGATGAACAGTTTGGTTATAGACCAGGAAAATGGACAAGAAATGCAATTTTATGCTTAAGGACAATAATGGAAAAGTGCATAGAAAAACAAACAGACTTATATATCTGCTTTATAGACTATGTGAAGGCATTTGACTGTGTAAAGCATGAAGAGCTGATTAAGATATTGGAAGAACTGGAAATTGATGGGAAAGATCTAAGGCTGATTAGAATGTATAGGGTTACAACTAGGTGGGATAAATTACAACAATCTGAGGTATGCAGACGATACAACTTTAATGGCGGACTCGGAAGAGAAACTTCAAGAACTTGTTAACATTGTGTCGGGAGAAAGTGAAAAATTGGGATTAGCGTTAAACTGCCAGAAGACCTTCTCTATGGTTTGTACAAAGAAAACGCAGGTTCCACTTTGTCGCTTGAAAGTGAAGGGAAACAGCATAAAACAGAAGGACTGTTTTAAATACTTGGGAAGTTGGATTTCGTCTGATGGACGATCGAATAAGGATATCCAGTATAGGATTGGTGTAGCAAAGCAAACATTTAAGAATATGAAGAACCTTTTTTGTGCGGGGAGAATTTGATTGAAAGTGAAGAAAAGATTGCTGAAATGCTATATCTGGTCAGTGCTTACGTATGGATGTGAATCCTGGACAATAAACAAGGCAATGGAAAAGAAATTAAAAGCTGTGGAAATGTGGTTCTACGGAAGAATGTTGAAGATCTCGTGGGAAAAGAAAATAACAAATGGAGAAGTGTTGCAAAATGCGAAAACAGAAAGGCAGTTGATGAACACCATAAGAGAAAGACAATGGAGATTTGTTGGACATATTCTAAGAGAAGAAGGTGGAAGTGAAAGACATATCATCGAGCAGTTACTACTATTACATAGGTATCAAAACATTAACCAGAAACGGATTTCAATGATTTTTACGCAATAACTACTAATAAACAGCACTCTTCAAACAGAGCATTGACATAGTGGTCCAGTAGAAGGCAATTAAAATTATCAAATTTAAACAATGTGAGTAATACCACGTTATACCACTGATACAGTAACGAACTACTATTACTTAGGCCCTCATCAAAACATTACCCAGAAACGGATTTCAATGATTTTTACGCAATAATAATGACTAAAGACCAGTGGGCCTATCTAGAGAGTGCGCGGGGGTGGTGCCTCCAAAAATTACTCGCGCTCCCAAAAAACTGGTCAGGTTGTTAAAAAGCACCTAGAATCACCTTATTTTGCAAGTTAATTCACCCTTAACTGACCATCGAACCCCCACTTCACTTTTACGTCCCCCCCCCCCACCATCAGCACTAATAGATATGCTACTGCTCACGACATTTTGAATATCATTTAACACTGTATTAAAGTTAGCTGCACATTTCCTCTAGTTTAAAATATTTTTAGACTAATACAAGTGTATATATAAATGTATCTTTAAATGTAAACATTCTTACTATGACTGACTATAATAGTAAGAATGTTTACATCTAAACAACTACACTTTTTTTTTTATAAGAACCAGTAAAATTTTGCCCAGGCTCAGGCTCAGGTTTCAGGCTCAAAATGTTCTTATTTTGTTCTTATTTTACACACTTTTTTCAAACTTCAAAGTACAGTATATACTGTTCTGTAACGGAATGTAGGTATAAGTCGCCCTGGAAAAAAATACCCCTGAAAAAAAGGCCTGGAAAAAATGGCCCGAGAAAAAAGGCTCCGCTAAAAATGGTTCCAACTGACAGGAGGTAAACTTACTGTATTGTACTATAGAAAGTATTATATAATCACACCTACTGAACTTAAGGTACAAATAGGCCTGTAAGTTTTGGGGGTTTTTTTTAAATAAAAATGTCGTTAGACATTTTACCTGAGCCTCAATTTGTTTTTATTTTGTTCTTAATTTTTAAGCAATTTCAGCCTCATTGTTCTTATAAAATGTGTTCTTATAAAAAAAAAAGTGTATTACGCCGTGAAACCTGATGCCGACACAATTACGAAAAAGAAGCAGAAGTGGAACTTACTACATGTAGCCGGAAATCCTGTCCAACTCCCATCCGAACAGACTCTTTCTCCTCCATTAATGAGTTGATATTTACCGATATCATAGCACCGCGTTATCAGTATTGTCCCAGAAGGGAACTTGGTGTTGGAAGGAGTGAACTTGTCCAAGTCATATCGGTAGTTGACATTTACTATAGTGTATTCGTTGATCGTTGGCATTCCACAGTCTTCTTCGACTACTATACTTGTTGATGGACTTGTATCTGCTTGTTTTACTGACAAAATATCCAAAGGTTTAATTTTCATCAGGGTGTCGCCAGTGAGGGGGAGAGGGATAAGACCTGTCTCTTATACACATCTAGATGTGTATAAGAGACAGACATAAAGCATGCAGATTTGTTTAGCTGTTGAATGAGAAATACACGTTATATACAGTTATTATTTACCACAAGCAAAGCTAGCAACAGGGCCTTTGTACACTATTTCTGCATTTCTGCATTCTCCTGATAAAAAGGAATCTCCATTGTCAAGGATGTAGCCGCTCTCACATGAAATGACGATCGTATCCTGGTTGTCAATGGAACTAGCTAGACTTCTTTTACTGTTGATATAGACGATGATATTCTCCAACTGAGGTACCTGGCATGCCAAATCTGTCAGATTAAAGATACTATTTAAAAATATAATATAGAAATATTGAGATTACATTAACAATCAGCAACTTCCTAATTTGATTAGGCTGATGTATACAGTGTCCCAAAAAAGTTTAAATTGTGAGTTTTTGAAAAATGTGTTTAGTTTCTTTATTCATTTAAGCAGAATGTCAACAACGCAAGATATAAATTGCTTATTTACCTGGTAAGGCCTACCTAAAATATGTTAAATATTTAAAAGTATTAGGAATGATACATTACAAGTCTTCTGTTGTGTAGAGCCGTGGTGCTTAACCCACCGAGAGATTTGGAATGCGAGACATCAAAGATTAATATAAAAAATCATCAAAATATTGTGTGAATTGTCTGATTTCTTACACATAATTCCTGATGAAAAGGATTTATATATAATATAATGAAACTATATTATAGTTTCATTAATATTTTAACTATTACAAATTATTGTAAGCTAAAGTGACAATTGCTTTTTAGTACTTACCTTCAGTGGGGACCTCACAGGCGACTACACCGAATCTTAAGCTGATCTGTATATACCAATATTGTGGATATATCCTTACATATCTAGCTCGCACTGCCTCTGGAAAGACTTGTTGCGATGTTGTTCTTCTATCTACATTCCCAACAAAGACCTTATACAAAATTACAAAGATCAAGTAGATATTATCTTACTTCGAAACATAACAATATATTTAACAGTTCGTCCGCTTCCTATAAAGACTTTGTTTGATCTTTATTTTTTGTGATACGTTGAACGTATAGTGTAACACGTACGACTAAGACTATTATATATATATATATATATATATACATATAACATATGACGCTATATGTATATGTATATATATACGTATATATGTATATATTTGTATATATATAGGCATATATATAGGCCTTTATATATATATAGCCAAAGCCATTATACAATCGAAAGAAAAACTCAACAAACACTTAGCTGTTTAGTGTTGAACATGTTTTCGGCTCGCTCTGCGATGTAGAAGAGGAGGATCACATAAGTAAGTACGACAAACGTTTTTCTGGATACAAGGAGCAAAATACTCACCGCTTCTTCTTCGTTTTCATTGTTGACAATCGATTCCGGGGATTCGTCTTCCTCCCTGTATGCCACTTTATAAAGAGTAACCCAGGAATTCTTCCTGTAATTACCTTGTGTCATCACACCATACACATCCATTGAATGACCAAGATTTACTTCCAGCCACTGTCCAATCTCTTGTTTTCTAGGTATCCATGCTCCATCCTTCGCATACAAGCGACCGTTTGTCGGGCTGTTATCAGAGCTAAATGATGATGCCTTAAACGGCTGGGATCCCCTACGGACAACCTCAGATCTACATTCAGCTACTCGATTATAAAATAAATATTATTACCTTTTATATCGGATAAAAATATTTTTTATGTATATTTAATGCCGATTGATATTAACATTAATTATACCACAACATTGTCCTCATAAATAGGGAACAGTTTGAAAGTAGTGTTTGATATTGGTTGCCAAAAACTCGGATGTTTTAAGGAGCTCTATTAATTTACAATGTTTAATACATCCAAACGTCTATTTCAGAATAATGTTTATTTTTGTTTTATTCCTCGTGTAGTAATAGTTTATTTATCAATTTATAATGTAATTAGTTGTTTATTGTATAGATCAATTAAACTTACAGTCTGTATTAAAAATGCATTTCGGTACCTCTGATATATCCGGAGACCATTTGTAGTTAAGTTTGTTTCCAGGATTAGTGTCTCTAACACACGTACGTTCAAAACCTGGTAGTGTCTGTATGTATGGTAATCCAAAGCACCCGAGACGAACCTTACTTCCAGGTTTCAAGCTATCTGAGTAGCTGAACCATCCACCACCTGGATTTGTGTGCAGTTTGCACAAATTGTTACTATCAAATTCGTTCTCTGCAAATTAACAATTCAAATACAACTTTATAAATTATCCTACAGCAGATTTAATATAGTATTGTTAAAGGTCTATTTCATCAGCTCGCTTTAGCCGTTCCTTTCTTGGTCACTACATATAATTATAACAAACAATAGGCCTATATATAAACATTAAAAATAATAATAATTATAACAATAATAATAATAATACTAATAATAATAATAATAATAATAATATTATTATTATTATTAGTATTATTGTTATTATTATTGCTAGTGTATTGTTAATTATTGCTAGTGTATTGTTAGAGTCCAATGGATATTATTGATATAGCCAATCATGGCGTACTTTGGGTCCCTTGTAACTAAGACAGGACATCAGGCAAACTTGTCTCATCAGTCCTCTTACAGATGTGACAAAAAGGATCAGAATCGTCTTTCATTATTTTAGCGTTGCATACGTTAGTTGGAAGGCTTTGTCCTTGTGCTGAGATCAAGATTCAGTTTCCTGTTTTAGACTGCACCCACAGAGCCACGGATGAACGTATATTCAATGTCTCTTTCTGGTTTGTGTAGTCTTTGTGAGTATACTTTCCATTAAGTGGTCTCTTTATAGGTCTCTTTGAGAGTGTTTCGTCCAGACACTCGTACTTTCAGCTTTGGTTTTTGGCAGCAACTGGTTTTAACTGGTTTTCGTCTTGGGTGAGAATCGTATCCAGGATTACTTTTTTGAAGGTGGGGCGTGCAAAGTTGGACCAATTAGGAAGGCGAATGCAGAGCCACTCGCTTTTTCATACACTGTACGGTACTATAGCAAATTTAATGCTCATATCTGGGACGGATGCAGGATTTGGCGGTGGTGTTTGCGTATACAAAATGAGGAAAAGTACATGTAGATTGCCGGAAATTACGCTTTTTTTTTTTCAGTAAAATTCATCATCACCACATCACCGATATATAGTCAAAATAAAGCGCAAATTCTCATGAATTTATCAGCGATTTTCGGTAACCACAGAGATCTAATTAGTATGTGTGTAGAAAATAAAACCTAAAAATATTGTGTTTGATGTATTTACTTTACCTACTTCAAAGCTGTGAGTCACTACCACCTCAGCCCCAAAAATGGCTGGGGCGGATTTGAGAAAATTTGAGGAAATTGTACCTTTAGATGGCCGGAAAGGACACTTTTAAATAGTAAAATTCATTCTTAATCTATTATCAGCTTTTTTGGAAACCACAGAGATCTAATTAGTATGTGTGGTGTACGGTACTATAGAAAATAAAACTTAAAAACATTGTCTTTAATGTATTTACTTCTGTAATGTAAGTAATAAATTAGGTTTAATATTTTCTAGTACTAACATTATTGACAGCTCCCGAAACTGGTCTATCCTATTGTTTAAAGAAGCGTTCGCTATACGTAGGTATGCTGTCTCTTATACACATCTCTTAACAATGGGCTCAGAGCTTCAAAAGAGCTTTCTTTGTTTTTGTAGGTATCTTTGATCATTAGAGTAAGAATGCTTTGATCTTTTGTTTAAATCACTGCTATGTCACCTACTAGAGGTAAAGTTTTGATTGGTTAAACACTTTTGGTACTAGTGCATATAAGCTTGCTAATATGGATAATTTTTTTCATTTCTGATGATGACATAATTAATGTCGAAATATTGAATCCCAACACGATGGCGTGTATTTCAATACTTGGAGTATGTATTATACTTTCGTATTTACTTCACCTACTTCAAAACTGTCCACACGCATCTCAGACGAAAAGTGGTAAAATTTGGGAAAATTGTACCTCTAAAATGCCGGATATGACACTCTTATATAGTAAAATTCATCATCATCAATCTAATTAATTAGTATAGTGAAAAACAGGGCCCCCGTGACCATTTTCCGGGGACCAAGGTTTCTCTGCTGATTCGGCATCACTAGGGTATAAATAAAAAAAATGAGCGGGGGTGAGCCTCCTGAAAAAGGGCGGAACATGTTTTTTGGCGGCCATTTTTAAAATGGCTAGTAAAATCAAGAGAATGGCTCATAACTTTACTTCTACTCCATGAAAAAGGGTAAATCTGGTGTCTAACTATTTGTTATTAGGGTCACTGAATTCAATTAGACATGTTTCAAAAACCTAGGATGGCAGCCATTTTGAAATTCAAGATGGCTGCCATAGTAATCATTGAAAATCAAATATTCCAGTATAATTCCACTTCCTGTCGTTGAAAATGGTAAATTTGATGTCTACTCATATGTAATTAGGCTCTCTGAGTCCAATAAGAATAACTTCCGTAAGCTAGGGTGGCAGCCATTTTGAAATCCAAGATGGCCACCACATAAATTGTCAAAAATCAAATATTTTGATATATAATTGCATTTTTCCTCACTCAAAAATGTTAAATTTGGGGGTCTAATCATATTTTATTCACATTTTTGAGTCCAATGAACATAGTTTCAAAAACCAAGCATGTCAGCCATTTTGAAATTCAAGATGGCCGCCACAAAAATCGTCAAAAATAAAATATTTGGTATATAATTCCACTTGTCGATCAAAAGTTGTAACTTTGGTGAGAGTAACCTCTAAATCTCTGGCCATATTCAATGCTAATGGTACATTTAAAAAATGCCAGAAATCAAAACTTGTCCACTGTATGGATACAAAAACCAATTCTGCAGATACAGAATATACTGCTATCATTGATATGGGCATGGTCATCAGAAAGGCAATCCCTTATAAAGAACAAAGGCTTAATGAAGATGGTTCCTTGTTTACTCGGGAGAATTATGTCAACAAATGCAGAGATATTATATTTAAAAGACATCACAATGCATCAGCCATTATATGTGTTAATGACCCATACAGTAAAGAAGAGTCGATCAAATATAAAGAAAGAGAATGATGATCAAATGGGCAGAAAATACCTAATACACACATGAAGTTACAGGACCAGTTTTTATCAAGTAAAGAGTTTAACAAAATCCCGAAGAGCGATTACAACAAGTCAAGAATGCAAGAATTCATTAAAGAAACCCCAGCAAGAAGAAGTATAAAGTTGAAGGAATTTGAGTGTTGTACTCTTTAGAAAATTGTGTTGATTAGCAGATAATAGTGAGATACCAGAATTTAATTGTAGTCAGGCAGAAGCAGATAAATCGATGCTGACTATCTACTATCGCAGAACAAGCTGCAAAGTTACTAAACCAGTAGTAATAGACTCGGAGGATACAGATGTGTATGTTCCGGCTGCATACGTTGCACACAAGTTGCCAGGAGAACTAAAGATGTATTTAAAGTCAGAAGAAACTGTGTTTGTCAATTGTAGGGATATGTGTAGGCATTAAATGGCAGAAATCATAATTCAACTTCATGTTTTGACCGGCTGTGACAGTAATTCTACATTCTTTGGACATGGAAAAGGCAAAGATTTTCAATAATGTTCGAGAAAGCAAAGAAGAAAAAATCTGTTGAAATCCTGTAGAGAATCTATTGCTGTGACAAATTCAACATTTGAAAAACTTACTTAAGTTTGACTTAAAGTTTATATACAACGACAACAAAAGCAAAAACACAACAGAGGCAAGGTTGACCAAGTGGACGTCCTACAAAAAGAGAAAGTCACTTGTAAGATTGGCACCAGACAAATATTCACTACTTCAGCAGATTAAAAGAGCCAACTATCTATCATACAATCAATTAAACTTCTCCTTAAGAATCAATCAATCACCAACAAAAAGTGGGTGGAAACTGATTAATGTAAAGTGCTATGCCGAAAGAAGTACTGAGCCAAACCTACCCAGTGATATTAAAGTTCCAGAACAAAATGATAGTGACAGTAGCGATGAGAGTGATGATGAAACAAGCGACCAATCGTCCGAGCATGATGACGACGTATGAACCTAATTGTGATTTATTCCAGACAGACAGGTTTATCAAACAAATGCTTATGTTTTATCGTATAATATAAGTGGTAGTATTTCTAAAGATTTATTATTTTTGCATTTTGTAAGGTAAAACGTGTACATAATAATGGCAGACATATTGGAAAAACGTATAGTTGTCATCCTTTTAAAACTACGTTAATTGGACTCAGATTGCCCATAACAAGTCATTAGACACCAAATTTACCATTTCTATTGAGAAACATACATGATTGGACACCAATTTAACATTTTTTATCAAGGAGAAGTGCAATTATATACCAAAATATTTGATTTTTGACTATTTTTGTGGCGGCCATCTTAAATTTTAGATTGGCTGCCATTCTAGCTTATTGAAACTATGCTTATGGACTTGCAGAGCCCAATAACATATAAGAATACATCAAATTTACCATTTTTCAAGGACAAGAAGTGGAATTGTACTAAAATATTTGAATTTCAACGATTATTACGGCAGCCATCTTGAATTTCAAAATGGCTGACATTCTAGCTTTCTGAAACTATGCTCATTGGACTATTGAGCTCAATAACATATGATTAAACACCAAATTTAACATTTTTTATAGAGGAGAAGTGCAATTATATACTAAAATATTTGATTTTCGACGATTTTTGTGGCGGCCATCTTGAATTTTAAAATGGCTGCCATAGCTTATTGAAACTGCTTATTGGGCTTGCAGAGCCCAATAACATATGAGAATACATCAAATTTACCATTTTTCAACGATAAGAAGTAGAAATATACTGGAATATTTGATATTCAACGATTATTACGGCAGCCATCTTGAATTTCAAAATGGCTGACATGCTTGGTTTTTGAAACTATGTTCATTGGACTCAAAGAAGTGAATAACATATGATTAGACCCCCAAATTTAACATTTTTGAGCGAGGAGAAATGCAATTACGTACCAAAATATTTGATTTTTGACAATTTATGTGGTGGCCATCTTGGATTTCAAAATGGCTGCCATCCTAGCTTATGGAAGTTATTCTTATTGGACTCAGAGAGCCTAATTGCATATAAGTAGACATCATATTTACCATTTTTCAACGACAGGAAGTGGAATTATACTGGAATATTTGATTTCCAATGATTACTATGGCAGCCATCTTGAATTTTAAAATGGCTGCCATCCTAGGTTTTTGAAACATGTCTAATTGAATTCAGTGATCCTAATAACATATAGTTAGACACCATATTTACATTTTTTCATGGAGTAGAAATAAAGTTATGAGCCATTCTCTTGATTTTGGCGGCCATTTTAAAAAATGGCCGCCAAAAACATGTTCCGCTCTTTTTCAGGAGGCTCACCCCCGCTCATTTTTTTATTTATACCCTATTAATGCCAAATCAGCAGAGAAACCTTGGTCCCCGAAAAATGGTCACGGGGGCCCATTTTTTCACTATACTAAATAGCTGTGATGTACCGGTACCATAGAAAATAAAACGTTATTGTCTTTGATGTCACCTACTTCATGTGCCGAAAACCAATCTTTTCTTTGTACGCTTTTTCTCATACTGCTCAAATTATAATAAAGGCACGCGCACTCGAGTCGCGTTTCATAGGTAATTCAGATGTTTGTGGGTAGAGATACCGGTATCTTGCTATAAAATAAGATATACTCTGACAGTAGAGCGCGCGTCGTTAAAACCTAGGTCATTATGCAGTTTATTTAAACAATTTTCAGGCATGATATTTTATGATATGATTCCACGGGTGCGTGAGAGTCCACATTACCTCAGCCCTAACATGGTTGGCGCTGAGGTGCGAACGTTTTGAGAATATGGACCTCTGGGGGCTTGGAAATTGCACTCTCATACCTTTAAAATCTTACAAATAATTCATATCAATACAACAATTATTTTTCTTAATACAATTTAGGGGGTGCCATTGGCGGATCTGGGTGGTCAGGGTAAAAAATTCTCTGTGTACCGGTACACACATAGGCCTATTTACTGTATAATAAGAATGAGAAAAAATTACCTGACCGTTTACAAAAAAGGAAAACCTTAAATTTTGATTAAAAGACACTTCAGAAGTCGGGAAAACTCATTTCTCGCCATCTAAGAACCACAATTTTCCCGGGGAGGACCCCCCAACCCTGTTTTTTTTTGGGGGGGGTTCATCGATTTATTGAAAAAAGAATATGTATGCAGCGAATCAATTTTTGTCATGTACTGTACATACACACATAGTAGGGCTACTAGTACTGTATTTACAGTAATAAGAATGAGTTTACAATACCGTTTTCAAGCGGAGGAAAACCTTAAATTTAAAGAACTTAAAAGTCATTACGTCACCTCAGAAGTCGGAAAAGCTCATTTCCTGCCATTTAGTGATCAATTTTTTTCCCGGGGAGGGCCCCCGGACCACCTTCTTCTTTGGGGTTATCCATTCATGGAAAAAAGAATACGTAAGCAATTCAATTTTTTTTTAAATGTACGTATACACACATAAATAGGCCTATTTACTGTAATAAGACTGAAAAAGTTTACCTGACCGTTTTCAAGAGGGGGAAAATTTTGAATTCTGAAGAGCTTTAAAGTCATTAAAAGACACCTCAGAAGTCGGAAAAGCTCATTTCCTGCCATCTAGTGATCAAAATTTTCTCGGGGAGGACCCCCCGGACCAACTTCCTCTTTTGGGTTATTTATTCATGGAAAAAAGAATACGTAAGCAACTCAATCTTTTTTTTATGTACGTATATATACACACATAAATAGGCCTATTTACTGTAATAAGAATGAGAAGTTTACCTGACCGTTTTCAAGAGGGTGAATTTTGAAGAACTTAAGGAGGGGTTGAGTCAGAATTGTTAATATTTTGTCAGCACTATTTTACAACTTTGTCAAATTCTGACATATATGAGTTACGTATCATATTGTAGCCCATGGTGAATACTTATCAAAAATAAATATTGTTTCGCACCAGTTGCCATGGCAACCGGACAAGGTCTCTGATTGTCTAAACATGGGAACGACTGTTACTCAAAAACGAAATGGCCAATCGACACCAAACTCGGACACAAGGTATATTTGGACAATACGCACAGAACCATGAAGAGATATTTTTCAAAATATGTTGCGTTTTTTAATTACGGCATAACAAAGGTGTGGTGGAGTTGTAGTGGTAGTAGTTGAAGTAAAGGCGGTGGGCGGAGATATGCTCTCTACTGAGTGCTCTTATTTTTATTTTTATTTTTTTATTATTTTTTTTATTTTTATTTTTATTTTTATTATTATTATTATTGTTATTATTATTATTATTATAAAATTATTATTATAATATTATTATTATTATTTTATTATTATAATATTATTATTATTATTATTATGAGATTACCTCCAGTTCATGATATTCTACTGGGTTTTTTCAGCTATGTCTCGGCTAATTCCCACAGCTT